GGCCCAATGGCCGCCACGATGGCCTTCTGGAGCTCTTTGGCCACGTTGCCCTTGACGTCCAGCCACTTGTTCCGCTCGACCTCCTCAACCTCCAGGCCGCTGAGGTCGAGTAGGTCTCCGTCGACGATCTCGACCGCGTTAAACCCGCTCCCATCTGCGAGTAGCTGCCACAGGTTGATTTGCGAGCCTGCTGGCACCTGCGCCGCATCTAGCACCGCTGTGCCAGGCGCCGCACGCTGGAGCTCCGCCTTGAGCTCAGCCTGCCACTCTGCCTTCGCCAGCACCGCCGCATGAGCCGCCGCCGTCGTCTTGTTGCTGCAGTCCTCCAGCCAGCGCCGCGCCTCGTCCTCCTGCTGCGCCGCCTGCCCGAGCGCCTTCTCCGCCGTGCGACACGCAACCCCCTTCGCGCTGATGGTCTCCTCCAGCAGCGGCTGCCGAGGCGCGGCAGGCGGCTCAGGTGCCACCGCTTGCACCAGAGCCTGGAGCTCCTGGGCCCCTGTTTCCTTGCCGACATGCTGCTGGAGCTGTTGCAGGAGCTCGGCCACCGAGACAGTGCCCGTTCCGCGCTGCGGTGGCGTCGATGGCTTGGGCACCTGCATGCGGGAAGGCGCCCATGACCCTGGCGGCTGGGCTGGCTGCCGCTGCCACTGGCCCTCACCACCTGACTCCGTCCATACTCCCTGCGCCTTCCTCCACGGCGGTTGGACTACTGGGGCGAGGGCAGCGCCGCACGAATTGCACTCAGTCCTCGATTTCCAGTTCCAGCGGAAGCGACAGCTCGTGCACGAGAGGAATTGCTTCGTCGCATCCTTGATCACCATGGGCTCCGACAGAAGCTCACAAGAACGCGAACCGTGCCCGTGAGGCACAACGTACTGTACCGGAGTAGCCTTGCACGGGCTCCGTGTGCAAGGCTTGGCGCGGCCCATGGATCGCTGGTGGGGGCGCACCACCCCTTGCCACACCTCAAGTCGCTGGACAACCCGCTATGGACTTGAACCAAACTGGCTACGGAGGAGGGGGAGGAGGACGACGAGGGGGAGCAGGAGGATGAGGAGGATGAGGAGGTGGAGGAGGTGGAGGAGGAGGAGGAGGAGGAGGCAGAGGAGGAGGAGGAGGAGGAGGAGGAGGAGGTGGAGGAGGAGGCGGAGGAGGAGGAGGAGGAGGAAAAGGGAAGAGGAGAGGGGAGGAGGAGGAGGAGGAGGAGGAGGAGGAGGAGGAGGAGGAGGAGGAGGAAGAGGAGGAGGAGAGGGGAGGAGGCGGAGGAGGAGAACGAGGAGGAGAACGAGAACGAGGAGGAGAACGAGGGGAGGAGGAGGAGGAGGAGGAGGAGGAGGAGGGGAGATGGAGGAGGAGGAGGAGGGAGGAGGAGGCGGAGGAGGAGAAGGAGGAGGAGGAGCAAGGAGGAGGAGGAGAAGGAGAGAGGAAGAGAGGAAGAGGAAGATGATGAGGAGGAAGAGAAGAGAAGGAAAGGGGGGGGAAGAGGAGAGGGAGGAGGAGGAGGGAGGCGGAGGAGGAGGAGGAGGAGGAGGGGAGGCGAGGAGGAGGAGGAGGGGAGAAGGAGTTGGAGAAGTGGGGGGGAGGAGGGGGGGCAGGGAGGAGGAGGAGGAGGAGGAGGTGGAGGAGGAGAAGGAGTAGGAGGAGGAGGAGGAGGAGGAGGGAGGAGGAGGAGGAGGGGAGGGAGGGGAGGGGGAGGAGGAGGGGGGAGGAGGAGGAGGAGGAGGAGGAGGAGGAAGGAGGAGGAGGAGGAAGAGGAGGATGAGGAGGAGAAGGAGGCGGAGGAGGAGGAGGAGGAGGAGGAGGAGGGAGAGGGTTAGGGTGAGGGGGAATAGGATGGGGAGGAGGAGGAGCGAGCGAGCGAGTGACCTTGGCAGCAGTTCGTTCGACTTCGAGCACGTGGCACGAGCCTAACAAATTTTGGCGCCTGTCAGCGTCCTGAATTGCTGCTGGTTCTGTCATTGGGCGAGGCGGAAGGGCGCCTGAGGGAACCCGTGGGGGCCTATATAGCCTAGGGCCCCTCGTCGGCCCTAGGCCGTCTCCATCCTCCTGATTTGAGCAAAACGAAAGGGCGAAACGCTAGGCTCAACCCTTTCTACTTGCAACTATATACGTAGTTACATGCTTAGTGGACGCTCAGGGCACACTCAGTATGTAAGTATGCGCATCGCGTGCTCACTGCGCCGTGCTACACGACATACATGCATGTGTGAAACATTGAACGTGATGCTGCTACTATTCTATAGTGCCAGTGCCGCCACGCTCACGGGTCTAGAGAGCAAGAATCCTTTCCGTAGATGTCGTGGCTGCCACTTCGCCATGGCTTTGAGAGCAGAGCTCGATCTTGATGGACATAGCTCAATGTAACTCACAACCCCACTGCCGGTCCCAACGTGTGGTCGTGGTTGTGAACTTCTGGCGCATGAAGGCAAAGAAAAGGGATAGTATTCTGTAGTCTGTGCCCAGACGTGGTTGATGAGAAATGTATTGGTAAGCACGCGCTGAAAGAAACTGCTGTAGCAGATGGAACTGCATGTCAAACAGCAGCAGGGCAGAAGTTGCTTTCCGCACAAGGATATGTTGGTGGCCCAGCGCTTCAGCATGTCCTTTGCTCGCTGACTTCCGCTGGCGGCCTGTCTTCGCATACCTTCCACTTGTACTGCGGCGTATCTTACATCTTGTAGGCGCATAGCTGGCTCTGACGTACGCGCTCGAGGGCGCTGGGTGGTGCGAACCCCTGAATCGGTTCCCTCCCACGTGCGTGATGGCCTGATGCATCGCCTGTCGAAACTTCATCTCCGAGATTGCTGTCGGCTTGATCGGCTCCTTCAACCCATCGCCTTGAAGCTGCTCCCTGGCTCTATTGACTGCGGCGATGTTCGATTCGTCCGCGAACGGGCGGACTGCAAGCGCGTTGTACATTGTCTGCACCTTGAACTGTTTGGGCTGGCCCGTCTGGGCATGGGCGGCCTTGACTTGGAAGTATGGGATGAGGTCCTCCACGTGCATCTTGAGTAAGAACTGATAGTCTGCAGCAAACTCTGCCCATTGAATAGGTACTGCCCCGAGCCCGCCGTCTTCAGCTTCCTGTGCGAGCCCCCGTGTCGCTTCATCACCTGCTATGCTGTGCTTCGTGCCGTAGATGAACCGCTTCTTAGGCCCCCTTCCCGTGCCTGAAGGAGAGGTCTTCGACTGATGTATCTACGCCCGGTCATGTCACTTCCATGCGTGATCGAGTTGTTCAGCGGTCTCGATGCGTCGTTCCAAATTGTGCCATCGGCGCGCAGCTTGTAATTCACGAATGAACAATCCAAATGTTATGCATATTTCATTGTGTCTAGCTTGATGCGGGTTCTCCGGGTCGGGAACTCTACTGCATTCTCGCCCTAGTCGCTCACGAGGTTCATCTCGATGTCTGATCAGCGCGACCCTCTCCGCGCTCACGTACTCGTTCTTCTGAGAAGGGTGCTCCCCTGGTAGAAAACCTCTGTGCGGATTTGTGTGAATGTTGGCCCTCAGTAGTTCCCATCCAGTTTGTATGTCATCTCGCTCCCATGATCGTCTCCATACGTCTTCTGGCATCTCCTCGGTGTTCTTGTCATATTCCTTCATGTACTCAATGCGCAGATGGCCGTGCACATACGCGCTCATTGAATAGCCTCGATGTGCCTGAGGGTGCTGAGCGCCTTTGTGTACTAACTCCGTGCGAGTGTCTAACTCCATGAGCAGTTGGATATGGTCCGAGCACTCGAAGCGCCATTGCAGTCGCCGTCCAAGCACTCGAAGCGTCTTGATGGTGATGATGCGCTGCATGGGTTCGGTGGGCACGACGTACTGATCGATCTTGCTGTTGGCGGCGCCGCTGAAATATGTTGGTCCCATATCCCAATATCTGCTTGCAAATGTCAAGTGGTTCTCCTCGAGCGCGTCTCGAACACGCTGTGAAACTGCTGCTTCCATCCATGAGTTTTTTACTCCGACTGTGTGTCCAGCTCGATAATACTTGCATCTTATGGCGTCTCTTCGGATGCCAAGTGAGCTATTCAGATCTCCTCCCATAATAATGAAACATCGATGCCCAAGCTTGTCGGCTGTCTTGTTAAACCAAGTCATGCTTTTATCGACCGTTTCTTTCAGCAAGGACGGCGTGGTACCCTTGGGTGGCATGTATTCAGGAAAGAGAGCCACCGTACATGCTCGAATGCGAAACTTTGTCATATCGATCCGGCCTGCGATGCCCCTGGACCGTGGTGGGAACGAGGTCTGCTGCATAATGCCCTTCATCACCGCTTCGAACTCCGCCGCCAGATCGCAGGAACAGTTTGACCACCGTGAATTTCGGAGCCCTGACTGCACGCAAGTGTGGTTCGGCAAGTTCTCCTGCGTCACGTCCTCATTCTTCATTGCGGCACGCCCAGTTCCGTTGAGCATCGTAATATCGACGGTCGGCGTGAGATTCGATATTTCTTCCAGATGTGTGTGATCAGCCCATCCGACATTATATGCCAAAACTATGAATACCATGGCGAACACGATTCCTGCGGGTGGAGGGAAGGAAGAGTAGGCACTGCAGGCCAGCCTAGGCCTGCCGCCCCGCATGTTAGTGACCTCCACCCGTGGGTTGTACGGTGTGGTAGGTGTGGTGGGAGCTCCTGCTGTGCTGTGAGCCACAGCAGCTCCTGGAGGAGGAGGAGGGGGAGGAGGAGGAGGAGGAGGAGGAAGGAACATGAGGTGGAGGAGGTCTCCCATCCTTCCCTCTTCATCCTCCTCCTGTTCGTTCCCGCTCCTCCCTCTTTTGTTTCTCCCTCTTCATCCTCCTCCTTCTCCTCCTCCTCCTCCTGTTTCTCTTCCTCATCCCCTCCTGCTCCTCCTCTTCCTCCTCCTCCGTCCCCTCCTCCTCCTCCTCCTCCTCCTCCCCCTCCTCCTCCTCTCCCCCTCCTCCCTTCCTTCCCCCCCTCCTCCCCCATTCTCTTAGGAGGAGCCCCCACCCACTTCCTGGCCAGGCCAAGATGGTCGAAAGTCTAAAGTACCAGCTCTGCGCCAGCGTTGCAGGTGGCGAGGCCGATGCCGCTGCTGATGTTGTCGAATCGTCCTCGTTGTCGTTCTGATCCTCGTCGTCCTCCTCCTCTTCATGCTTCGCCTCCTCCTCCTTCTCCTTCCCCTCCTCCTCTTCCTCCTCCTCCTCCTCGATCGTCGTCGATCGTCGTCGATCGTTGACCGTCGTCGTCGAGCGTCGTCGTTTTCGCTGACCGTCGTCGTCGTCGTCGTCGTCGTCGTCGTCGTCGATCGTCGGGGAGGCGCAGGTGGACTCCTGGGTTGGTGGCCTCGGCCCGCCCCGAGCGTCGGCGTTGGTCGGACGGGCCCCTGCTTCTCTTCTTCCCCCCTCCGCCTCCGCCTTCTCTTCCTCCTCCTCCGCCTCCCCCTCATTTCTCTCACTCTCCGCCTCCTCCGCATCCTCGTCCTCCTCTTCTCCTCCCACTGGTTGCTCCCCCATCCGCCTTCTCCCCCGCCCCTTCTCCTCGTCCCCTGACTGGCCCTCCTGCTCCTCCTCCTCATCGTTCTCCTCTTTCGCCTCCTCTTCGTTTGTCCCTGTTCACGCTGGCTGTTCCCTCCCTCGCCGCGCCACCAGAGGTCGCTGGCGGGGCGGGCCAGCGCCAGCCGCCGGCTGTCCTCGCCGAGCGCCGTTCGTCGTGCGTCGTCGGTAGTCGCTCGCCGCAGATCGGCATCGCTGGTCGTCGTCGATCGTCGTCGACCGTTGACCGTCGTCGTCGAGCGTCGTCGTTTTCGCCGACCGTCGTCGCCGTCGTCGTTGTCGTCGTCGTCGTCGTCGTCGATAGGTCGAGGAGGCGCAGGTGGACTCCTGGGTTGGTGGCCTCGGCCCGCCCCGAGCCTCGGCGTTGGGTAGGACTGGCCCTTTCTTTTTCTCCTCCTCCTCCTCCTCTTCCTCCTTCCCCTCCTCATCCTCCTCTCCTCCTCCTCCTCCTGTCCTCCCTCAACCCTCTTCTCCTCCCCCTCCTCCTGCTCCTCCTCCTCCTCCTCCTCTGCCTCCTCCTCCTCCTCCTCCTCCTCCTCCTCCTCCTCGTCTGGTGGGCCGGTGGAGCCTGCGTCGGCGCGAGCGCCGTGCCATGCCGGGGGGCAGCGGCGTCCGGTTTCTGGGGCGCGCCCGCGTGGCTCGTCGGGTGCAGCTGGGCCCCGCGGGCGCGGTCGCAACACTCCAACGTGCTCCTCTTCCCTACTGTAGGCGCTGCACTTTAGCAACGCTTGGACTCGGCTTGGGAAGCTGGGGCTCTCTCCCAGGGCTCAAGCGGGCCAGCGGCTATAGAGCCGTGGCGCGCTTGCTTGGCACGCTTCGACCAGCGGCGGGGCCCCGGCGGCCCGATACGTCGCAGCGCTTGGCCAGGCGGAGCGGGTGCCCTCCTTGTGTAGAGCAGCTTGGCCTTTGTAGGGGACCACATGCAACCCCGACCCCAACCTCCCCCTCAGAAATCGTGAGGGGTACGGGTAGGGTCAGCATGTGGTCCCCTACTCTGACCATGCCCTCCGCCCGACCCGACCCGAGCCTCTTCCCGCTGTGTTAGAAGAAGAAGAAGAAGAAGAAGAAAAACACGCCGTAAACAGAAACTCTTGGCTCTACGCACAGATTTCTTGGATCCGCCTCTGACCATGCCCTCCACCCGACCCGACCCGAGCTTCTTCCCGCTGTGTTAGAAGAGAAAACGCCATAAACATAAACTTCTGGCAATCCGCGCTGATTTCTTGGATCCGCGCTGGGCCCCCCGCTGCGGCGCCTCCGGCGCCGCCTCTGGCGCGCTCCGCGCGCCAGGGAGGGGGTCTAGCGCGGATCCAAGAAATCCACGCGGAGCGCCAAAAGTGTATGTTTATTGCGTTGTTTTCTTGTTCGACGCGTAGAGTGTCCCAACATTTTTGTGGTCAGCGGCCGCAAGGAAGTCGGACGGCGGTCGAGCGGCGGCGGGGCGCGCCAGATCACCGAGGGCACGTGGGGGATGGAGCGCGCGGGACGCGGCCTCTCTCGGCACACGCCGCCCCCGAGATTCGAAGAGCAACAAACAGCGACATGCACGAACTTTTGGCGCTCCGCGCGGATCTCTGGGATCCGCGCTGCACCCCCTCCTTGGCGCGCGGAGCGCGCCAGTGGCGGCGCCAGAGGCCTCCGGCGCCGCCTCCCAGCGGCGCTTCCGGAGGCGCCGCCGGGATCCAAGTAGTCCGCGAGGAGCGCCAAAAGACTGTTCCCCACATGTTGCGTGGGGTTCTGGTTTTCTGCCCTGCTGCGTCGCACCCGCGTCTCCCTCCTTCCTCTCGTCCTCTTCCTTTCTTCCCTCGTGCACTGGACAGGGCGTCGAAGATGTGGTCCACCTTCGAATCCGCTCTGGAGGACAGGCTCCACGCGTGTTGCATGCACGGCATCTACATGAGACACGCGCCTACATACCGCCGCACGCATGCACACCTTCGCACACACACACACAACATACATCATACAACGCTAGTGCAAGCCTGGCGTGTTCACTGCATCATATACCCAAGACGTATGCACAACGTACTGGGCACCCACATGAGACACACGTCCACATCCAGCCTGGCACCCACATACAGACTGGGTCGGAAAGCATGGCAAACGTTGCGTATAGGACCTAGGGTGCTCACACCGTGCCTTACGCTAGCAAGCGTGGCATTTTGTCGACAACAGAGGGGGTGCGCAGGGGGTGGTTCCTGAGCGCGGCCGCTATGCGCGCCTCGTCCAGGGCATAGCAGGCGTGGCTTTTTTTCGACACCAGAGAGGGTGGTTCCTGAGCTCGGCCGCCACGCGCGCTCTCGTCCACGGCATAGCAGGCGTGGTATTTTGTCGACACCAGGGAGGGTGCGAAGGGGGTGGTTCCTGAGCTCGGCCGCTACGCGCGCCTCTCGCCCAGGGCATCGCAGGCGGGGCATTTTCTCGACACCGGAGAGGGTGCGCAGGGGGTGGTTCCTGAGTTCGGCTGCTGTGCGCGCCTCTCGTCCAGGGCATAGCAGGCGCGGCATTTTGTCGACAACAGAGGGGGTGCGCAGGGGGTGGTTTCTGAGCGCGGCCGCTATGCGCGCTTCTCCTCCAAGGGCAAAGCAGACGTGGCATTCTCTCGACACCAGGGAGTGTGCGCAGGGGGAGGTTCTCGAACGCGGCCGTTATGCGCGCCTCTCGCCCAGGGCATAGCAGGCGCGGCACTTTCTCGACACCAGAGAGGGTGTGCAGGGGGTGGTTTCTGAGCTCGGCCGCTATGCGCGCCTCTCGTCCAGGGCATCGAAGGCGTGGCACATTCTCGAAAACAGCGAGGGTGCGCGGGGGGCTGGGTCCTGAGCGCGGCCGCTACGTGCGCCCCTCGTCCAGGGCATGGCAGGCGGGGCAGTTTCTCGACACCAGAGAGGGTGTGCAGGGGGTGGTTTCTTAGCTCGGCCGCTATGCGCGCCTCTCGTCCAGGGCATCGAAGGCGTGGCACATTCTCGACAACAGCAAGGGTGCGCGGGGGGCTGGGTCCTAAGCGCGGCCGCTACGCGCGCCCCTCGCCCAGGGCATGGCAGGCGGGGCAGTTTCTCGACACCAGAGAGGGTGTGCAGGGGGTGGTTTCTGAGCTCGGCCGCTATGCGCGCCTCTCGTCCAATTCATAGCACGCGTGGCATTTGTTTGATATGAGGGAGGATGCGCAGAGGGTGGTTCCTGAGCTCGGCCGCTGTGCGCGCCTCCCGTCCAGGGCATAGCAGGCATTGCATTTTTTCGACACCAAGGAGAGTGCGCAGGGGGTGGTTCATGAGCTCGGCCGCTATGCGCGCCTCTCTTCCAGGGCATAGCATGCGCGGGATTTTGTCAAAACCGGGCAGGGTGTGAAGGGGGTGGCTCCTGACTTCGGCTGCTACGCGCGCTTCTCGCCCAGGGCATAGCCCAGACGTGGTGGAAGCCCTCGTCAATTCTTTCGGTATCCAGGTTGAGAAGGCGAAGGGCCTGTTCTGCTTTCCGCTCATGGAGGCGCACTTCAAGTGGCAAACCTCCAACATAGCGCACGGGTTTAGAAGGTTTGGGCACGCGCTCACGCACGCGCGCTTCTGGACGTCCACCGCGTCACAGGGCCAGACGATCCGCACCGGGGTGACCATCGACTGCGCACAAGACACGAGCATTGGCAGACCAGATGAAAGAGCAGAGAACTGGTGGCTGCACCTGTACGCGATGCTCAGCATAGCCACTTGCACGGACGATCTGCTCTTGCTTCGGCCGCCGCCAAGGTCTCGCAGAAAGGCCCGCCCCCGTCCGCGCTCAAATCCCTCCAGAAGTTTGATGAGCGCATGGTCGCGGAGACTCGGGAAATCGAGGCTCGCGCTCTGGAGCGCCAGTGGACCTTGCCGGCGGCGCGAGGTCGCCGGAGCGCTACCGTTCAGAGATTTTCCATCGAAGAGCGCCCCCGGGAACTTTCCGTCCATAGGATGCTCTGGTGTTTTCTCCGCTGCGCGTGCACCTCGGAGTCTTCGCGGACAGAAGTTGCGCGTGTATTTGCAAGCGCTTTCTCCGCGCCCCACTCCGTCAAACGGCCTTCGGTGACCCCCGTCCTCTTCTGCCGCGCCACGTCGCTCCCCGACGATAAGAAGGCGCCTGCCCACGTCCTCGCGCCAGCTGTGGCGCGAGATTATCCAGCGAAGGGCGCTCGAGGACAAGGTCGACAGCGCGCGCTTGCGCTTCGCCGTCTTCTATGCGCAGCTCGGAGACTTCCCGTCGAAAGTATGTCTAGGCTATCGCAGCATGCGCGCTGCAGCGCGGGCTCGAGTGAGTGCGAAGGGCGCGGTGCCAAGCCTCCACCTTCCCTCTTCCTTTCCACGCCGTTCTCCTCGCCCCGGCCCGACGGCGGGTGCGACGACGAGCGCGACGAGTAAGACGACGACGACCGCGAAGGCGAGGACGACGACGAATGCGACCACAAATGCGACGATATATGACGACGACGATTACGAAGACGACGACTGCTTTGACGAGCACGACGAGTACGACGAAGAGAAGGACGAGCGCGACGAGTACGACAACGACGACGACGACGACAACGAATTGGCACTACCAGCGCTGGGGTCGACGTCTACGGCGACGACGACAGCGACGACGAGGACGACGACGAACACGACGACGAGTACGACGACGATAGTACGACGAAGACGACGACGAGGACGACGACGACGTCGTCTTGGAACGGTCGTCCAGCGTCAGTGGTTTAGTCTGGTTGGTCGCGTTCGTCTGGTTGGTTGGGCTGGCTGGTTCGACTGGATGGTGGTGCTGGCAGTGGTAGTGGTTGTGTGGTGCACACAGGACATGAAGTAAAGTATGTGGGTATCCCCGGTCGCCTCACGTTTATGGCGTTTTCTCTGATTATAGATATCGGGGCGCTGCAACTCTCATACGAACTGGGCGGTTTTGCCGGCCTGCCGTTGAGACCATCACAGACCGAGCTGGCTCGGAACATGCAGATGTTTCGCCACGTCGGATCTCGGGGGCTGCCGCTGCTGCCACCAGGCGCACTCCATCTGCCTGCTGTCGCTGTGCCGGCTGACCGTCACCGGGGGCCCAGAGGATCGGTGGGCCGGCGCCCCCCCCGAGGGGAGGGGGAGGAGGGCCCAGAGGAGCAGGATCTATAAAAAACGACAGGAGGGAATTGCCTGGAGGAGGAGCATCTGCACCCAATCGTTCATTCCTCGCCGATCGGGGCTTTGGTGCTCCACCCCTCCCAGGGACGTGTGCTTTGTTATCGAAGACGCCCACGGCGAATCACCGCCGCCCCGTGCTGTGGACGAGCTCATTCGGCCAAACGTTGAGACGAAGTCTGGCAAAGCTTTTGGCTGTTGGACGATGTGTTCCCCCAGCCATTGTAGACCCCCTTTGGGGGACATTTGGGAGAGGAAGAGAAAGGCAGAGGAAAAAGAGGAGGCCCTTTGAGGCCTTGTTGGGGTCTCCTTGGGGCTTCCTGAGAGCTGAGAGCCTCTTGTAGTCTCCTGGGGGTTCGTGGTGGTTCCTGAAGTTCCTTGGAGGATTCCGTGGGATGGGCCAGTTTTTTTTGGGCCAGACTCCGGGCAGCCTCTGTGGCACCCAAATGAAGCGTTGTGACTCGTGCGGCCTCGGAGCACGTTCCTGGACCCCCCCCCCAGGCCCTCCTGGACGGAGTGAGCACTTCTGTGCTGCGCGCAGGGAAGGAAGGCATAGCTGGGAAGGCTCCCCCTCCCCTCCCCCTCCTTTTTCCTCCTCCTCCTCCTCCTCCTCCGCCTCCTCCTCCTCCTCCTCCTCCTCCTCCTCCTCCTCCTCCTCCTCCTCCTCCTCCTCTCCTCCCTCCCCTCCCCTCTCCTCCTTCATCCTCCTCCTCCTCCTCCTCCTCCTCCTCCTCCTCCTCCTCCTCCTCCTCCTTCTCCTCCCATGCCGCCGTGTGCTGCGTGCGTGGCCCGCCTTCCGCACCGCTGGGAGGGGGGGGCGAGCTGACGTTCGCCCGCGGGCGAAGATCGTCTGGCACTCGGCTGAACGCTCCGACCATCAATCGGTCGCTGCTCGACGGTCGTCGGCAGCGGCGCTCGGTCCAGAGAGCACGGCACAAAAGAAGGAGGAGGAGGAGGAGAAGGAGGAGGAGGAGGAGAGGAGGAAAGGGGAGGAGGAGGAGGAGGAGGAGGAGGAGGAGGAGGAGGAGGAGGAGGAGGAGAGGAAGAGGAGGAGGAGGAGGAGGAGGAGGAAGAGGAGGAGGAGGAGGGAGGAAGGAAGGCAGGAGGAGGAGGAGGACGAATAATGACCCTCCTCGCAGACATGTCCGCTGCCGCAGGACGAGCCCCTGAGCCCCTTCTCGCTGCTAGGCCTGCCCATCAGCCGGGTCGACCTCCACGCGGCGGCGAGGCGTTGAGTTCGCCAACCTCCTCTCGCCGGCACCAGCCTGCATGACCAGATCTCCGGCGATGTCTTCAGCACTCTGGCGCTCCGTGCGGATTTCTTGAAGCCGCGCTGCGCTCCCCTCGGCAGCGCCTCCGGCGGCGCCCCCGGCGCGCTCTCCGCGCGCCAGGGAGGGGAGTCCAGCGCAGATCCAAGAACTTCTCCGGGAGCGCCCAAAGTGTTCGTTTATGTTTTTCTTCTCCTAAGATCTCCGACGAGATCTTCAACATGCGGTTTTGTTTCCTCCCTCGGGAGGCGGGTATCGGGTCCCACGGCCATCAAAAACGTTGGTTCCCGAACGAGTGAAGACTACGGTGAAGCGGTCGGGACTTCCCTGCGGCCGCGGATTGAACAAATCATATCGGCGGATGCCAGGGTGGAAGAGGAGACGCAAGCCTGGATTGAGGATTACGCTGCGTGGATCAGCGACGCATCCCGCTTCCATGCAAAATCGACGCGTGCCTTTGCCAGATGAGTCGGCGTTCTCTTAGTGCGTCGGGGGCGGGGGGGGGGCATTCCCCGATCCGTGGAGCTGGCGCCCGCGCGCCGTACCCTTTGATCCGTGATCCATGATAGCGCGTGCTCGGATGCAAAGCAGCAGCACAGGTGAAGGGCGGTTCTCGGCGGTTCTTGGACGTTCTCGTCGGCTCTCGGTAGTCTTCCGGCACTGGGATTGCCTTCGAGCAGCTGCGCCTCGCCGAGAGCGTTTTGGGAGTGCCCGGACTGTCCCGAACGGCCGCTGGAGAGTCGAGTTTCGACCCAGCAGTCAGAACGACGAGGCACACTCGGGGCGAACCTCTTGGAGCCTGGAGCCTCCCAGGAGAAGGGGGAAGACAACGGGAGGAAGGTATACCGTGACGGGGGAGCCGAGCGTGGCCGGGATGTGTTCGTGCCGTGGCCCCCAGTTGACCAGGCTTATCGCTGACCCGGGCTAGCGCGAACCCGAAACATACCGACACCAATACTTTATTGGAGAATTCTGGTTTTTCATGTTCGGCACCCAGGGACCGTCTTTGGACCACGAGGCCGCCCAGATATCTAGTGATCCACGGTGGGAGACTTGCCAGGATGTGCCCCAGGAGGGATCAGGCAAGCGATCTTCGGCAGAACAGGTTTTGGTCGGGAGGGTCGGAGGGGGGAAACCCGACGAGAGATGCCGATGCTTACCACCTTCCTCGGCGTCGCGTTGTTGGGCCCCCGTGGCCCTGGCTAGAGTGCGTCTCGAAGTCCTGGTCTGAGCGCCCCGGCCGGAGCGGGGTCGGAGCAGCCGCGGCGCGGGCACGCGGTGTTTGCGGCAGGGATCACGGGAGCCCTCCGCCTGGGTCTGAGCAGGAGGATGGGGAGAAGCAGGGAGAGGGGAGAGGGATGAGGAGGAGGAGGAGGAGGAGGAGCACGAGTATGAGCGGGTGGGAGAGGAGAAGGATGGAGAGGGAGGACGAGCAGCAGCAGCAGCAGCAGCAGGAGCAGGAGGAGCGGGAGGAGGAGGATGGCCCGCGGAGTGCCGAGGGGGGGAAGGGCGGGGGGTGACGACGGCGAGGAAGGAGTCGGCTCCAGCAGTGTGGCCTGCGCTGGGGCGAGAGCGAAATTCTGACGGATGGGGGCAAACTTCGAATCATGAGATGAGACCAGCGCTGCAGCGGCTGCACCATTTGAAACAGGACAGCTAGTATGTGCTCCAAGCAGTCAGTGAAGCTATGGAGGGGAAAGAGTGAAATGTGGAGAACGCTATGGAGCTATTATTCCCAATCAGAGCTTGCCTCTGTAGGGGTCCTAGCGGATTCGTATGGTTAGGTTAGGTTTGCCGCCGATTTTCGCCGCACGCCCGGGTGCCCAGGTGCCCGGGTGCCCGGGTGCCCGGGCGTGCCCAGGGTTGCCCGGGTGCCCGTAGCCCTATAGCCTTATAACCCTAGAGCCTTATAACCTTATAGCCCTCTAGCCCTATAGCCCTATAGCCCCAATAGCTTTATAACCCTATAGCCCTAATAGTTCCATAGCACTATACCCTTATAACCCTGTAGCCATATAGCTATACAGCCCCATAGCCCTGTAGCCCTCTAGTTATCTAGCCCTATAGCCCTACAGCCCTTTAACCCCATAGCCCTATATTCTTGAAACTATTATGAATGGGTTTGTTATCTGGTATCACGTGTCAGCTGCGATATGCAATCTGTATGTATGAGTATGTTTGTACAGTGTATAGGTCGTGTAAGCCATGTGCGAGGTATGTTGCTACGCTGGACCGGCTGCGTGGTGGGACCTATCCGGTGTGCGCTGTGTTGTGTTGTGCGGTGTGCGGTGTACGCTAGGCTGCGTAAGCTCTGCTGCCCACCCGGTGCACGGGGCTCCAAGGAGCTGCCCTCGGGCGGGCACTAGGCGGAGCCTCGGCGGAACCGCCGCGGGGCAGGTGGCGCCCACGGGCGCCCACGAGGCGCAAGCACGGGCGGGCGCCAGGCGAGGGCCTCGGCGGGCCCACCGAAGGGCACTGGGCGCCCTCGGGCGGTACGAGGAGGAGGAGGAGGAGGAGGAGGAGGAGGAGGAGGAGGGGAGGAGGGAGGAGGAGGAGGAGGAGGAGGAGGAGGAGAGGATGGAGGAGGAGGAGGAGGGAGGAGGAGGAGGAGGAGGAGGAAGGAGGAAGGGGGAGGAGCAGGGGAGGAGGAGGGGGGAGGAGAGGAGGCAGGAGGGGGAGGAGGAGGGGAGGAGGCAGGAGGGGAGGAGGAGGAGGAGGAGGAGGGAGGAGGAGGAGGAGGAGCGAGGAGGAGGAGGAGGAGCGAGGAGGAGGATGGAGGAGGAGGAGGAGGAGGAGGAGGAGGAAGGAGGAGGGGGAGGAAGCAGGGGGAGGAGGAGGGGGAGTGAGGAGGAGGAGGAGGGGGGAGGAGGGGGAGGAGGGAGGATGGAGGAGGAGGAGGAGGACCACGAGAAGGAGGAGGAGGAGGAGGAGGGAGGGGGGAGGGGGGGGGGGGGGTTGGGAGGAGCCTCGGCGGACAAAACCCAGGGGCACGCCCGGGGCACGGGGCTCCCACGAGGTGCCCACGGGCGGGCACCGGGCAAGGCTTCGGCGGGCCCACGCGGGGCACGGGGCGCCGAAGAGGCGCGCACGGGCGGGAGCGCTGCACACCCTTAAGGCCTCCAGGAGGTGCGCCTCTCGGGGGGCCTCTCGGGGGAGGCCTCTCGGGGGGCCTCTCGGGCTGGGATGTCGCGGGAGGCCTCTCGGGGGGCCTCTCGGGGGCCGTGCTGGAGCCTCCTCGGGGGCCTCCTGGGTCCTGCTGGGGGGCCTCCTGGGGGTCTCCTGGAGCCTCCTGGGGAGTCGGGGCCTTCTGGCAGCCTCTCGGGATCTCCTTCACGCCTCTTGGGGCGGGAGGCTTCGAATTTCGGTTCTGCTCCCCCCTCTTGGGCCTCTCTCGGAGCCGTCGTGAAGCATTCTTGGGCCGTCTTGGGCGCCTCATGGGCCGTCTAGGTGCTCTCTTGGGCTCTTGGGCCGTCTTGGGGCTCTCTCGGGAGCCTCGGAGGCCGCCTTGGCGCGGTCTCGGGAGCCTCTGGAGACGTCCTGGACCCTCTGGCTCGAAGCGTGGAGGACCAAACAGCATCGCAAAGCCTACCGGAAAGAACTGTTGTTTTACCTGTCGGGGTCTTTTGGGATAGGCTCTCGGAGGCTTGTTGGGACGTCTTGGGCGCTTTCTCGGTCGATTGGAGGAAGCTCAGCGATTCGAGGCTCTCTTGGACCGTCTTGGGAGCCTCCTGGGACCCTCTTGGCCCGTCTTGGGGCCCTCTGCAGTCGGGGCGCTGAAGAAGGGACCCTTTTCGTTGAGGAGGGGCTCATTGTTCCACACTTTGCCTCAGGTTGTCCTTAGGTTCTCCTCGATGGGAAACAGAAGTTTAACTTATGAAATAAAGGGCCCTCGTTCCTTATTAAGGGTTCCTCAAGTCAACGCCCCGACCGTAGGCCCCGAACAGGTGATGCGAGAAGACGCTGGGAGCCCCAGGGGCCACGCGGGGAGCCCCAGAAGCTGTGGCAAGTTCGAGTCCAGGCCCATGATGATGATGCTGCTGCTGCTGCTGATGATGATGAGGATGATGATGATGATGATTCTGATGATGCTGATGATGCTGATGATGCTGATGATGCTGATGATGCTGATGCTGATGCTGATGCTGATGCTGATGCTGATGCTGATGCTGATGCTGATGATGATGATGATGATGATGATGATGATGATGAGGAGGAGGAGGAGGCAGGAGGAGGAGGACGAGGCCGGAGGAGGAGCGGAGAAGGAGGCAGGAAGCAGGAGGAGGGGAGGAGGAGGAGGAGCAGGAGGAGGAGGAGGAGGAGCAGGAGGAGGAGGAAGGAGGAGGAGGAGGAGGAGGAGGAGGAGGAGGAGAGGAGGCGGAGGAGGAGGAGAGGCGAGGAGGAGAAGAGGAGGAGGAGGAGGAGGAGGAACAATGCTGCCTCCTCTACCTCCTCTCCTTTTGTGCTCGTCCTGCTGCTCTACCCTTTGCCTCACTTTTTCGAGCAGGAGGAGGAGGAGGAGGAGGGAGGAGGAGCCGGAGGAGGAGGAGGAGGAGGAGGAGGAGGAGGAGGAGGAGGGAGGCAGGGTGGAGGGAGGGGGAGGAGGAGGAGGAGGAGGAGGAGGAGAGGAGGAGGAGGAGGAGGAGGAGGAGGGGAGGAGGAGGAGGAGGAGGAGGAGGGAGGAGGATGAGAGGAGGAGGAGGAGGAGGAGAGGGAGGAGGAGGAAGAGGAGGAGGAGGAGGAGGAGGAAATGCTGCCCTCCTCTACCTCCTCTCCTTTGTGCTCGTCCTGCTGCTCTACCCTTTGCCTCACTTTTTCCCTAATGCGCCCCCCCTCCCCCAATGCGGGGGAAGGGCAGGAAATGTGTGCATGGCCTCGGGAGAACCCTTCAACCGCCATGCGTGAGTGAGTGAGTGAGGATTAAAGAATCCTCAGGATCGAGGATTGAGGCTCCAGGGGATCCAACGAGGGACCCGAGCACGCTCCAGCTCGTGCCTCAGGGGCACGGTGGCGGATATGCGGTGCGCCAGAGCAAACAATTAGTATCTGGGATAAGTGGCGCCTCGCTCGGGCTGGATCCGGGGAGAGAGGAGACCACTACTTTGATTTAGTAATCATACAGGAGAGGAGAGGGGGAGGACCCGCTTCCCTCCTCAGGGCCTGGGCGGGAAATCAGAGGGGGCCTGCTCAGAAGCCTCAGAAGGCCTCCAGCCTTCTGAGAAGCCATCTGCGCCTTTCCCGAAGCCACGGAGGGCTTCCGAGAAGCCCCGCCCCCATCCGAGAAGGTTGGACCCCCCTCACTTCCCTCAGGATGGAGGTTTAATTCAGCATCGGCGCTGGCAAAATCCATTGTCGAAAACTGGCCTAGTCTGGCAGACTCCCAGTTACTCTGATCCAATCCCCCTAAATCCGGCCTAGTTCCCGGCTCAATCTGGCCGAATCTGGCTCAATGGCTCCCGAATGGGGCTTCACAGCCTTGTATCGTTCTTGCAGAAACCTTCCATGGAGTTGCTCAGGGCTGGACCGAAACGCTGTTTTGCTGGACTCCGGCCGTGCTTTGTGTTTTTCGTTTTGGCAGGGAGGTACAGGAAGACAGGCAGAGCAACACGACAAACGAAACGAAAGCAAAACGAAAAACAGCGTTCAGGTCCAGCCCTGGAGTTGCCTCCTACTCCAAATCCCTCATTAATCGACCCCCCCCAAAGACGGGACCCCCTCCAAATGCGACCTCATATTCCGGACCCCCCTCTTCGACGGGGCGCCTTAAACCGGGCCCGTAAGCTCCAATCCAAAGAAAGCGCCCTAATAAAGCAGACCCCCCCAGTTACAAAAAAAGGCGCCTCAAGAAACCGGACCAGGGGGACGGTGAATAAGGGATTTGGAGTATGACCTCCCCTCTCGGCACGCCGCCGAGCTGCTCCTCCCCCCCCCCGTCCCCCGCAGAGCGGCGTCCCGGCAGGCAGAAGTTCACGCCGCCGGGCACCAGCCTCCAGCTGGACACGTTCGCCTCCGCCCGGGTTCTGCAGGTCGGCCGCTGCCGGGGGGGGTGGGGGTGGGGGTGGGGGGGGGGGGGGGGGGGGGGGGGGGGCGAAACGGCGGTGGGCAGGAGGGGAAGCTGGAAGCGGATAGAGGGATAGAGAGAGGAGGGGGATAGGAGGAGAGAGGATAGGAGGAGGAGGAGGAGGAGGAGGAGGAGGAGGAGGAACACATGAAGGCAGAGGATGAGGAGGAGGGGTGCTGAAGCGATGGATGGGGGGGAAGAGCAGAGGAAGAGGAGGGCGGAGGATGAGGAGGCAGGGTGCAAACAAGGAGAGGAGGGGCGGACTGGGAACCTTATTGGCTCCTCTCTCATACGCATATATACATGTATACTGTGTCATTGGAACCCGCCTCTTTGCAGGAATCCTGAGGCATGTAGGACATGAGAGAGAGAGAGACGGACACATGTACATACAGACATACGTACGCACGTACGGTATATAGGGATACATGTGTAGGCATCTATAGCTTTGTAAGTGTATATGGCGAGGGAGAAAAACATGGAGAGATAATGAGAGCGAGAGAGCGAGAGAGAGAACGGGAGACAGAGAGAGAGAGAGAGAGACCACGTGTGCACATGTGCGATAGAGATGGAGTATATGTATACATATGCATGGATGAACAGATCTAGGTGGCGAGCATATAGACACAAACAATGAGAGGGATAGCATACATATACATAATCTATGTGCATAGAGGGATCTACGAACAATGAGAGGGGTTGCCACTGGTAGGGGGAATGGAACCGGACAGGACGAACCCGATGAAGAGAAGGGGGAAGGGAGGACAGGATGTTATGGAGGAGGAGGAGGAGGAGGAGGAGGAGAAGGAAAAGGATCAGGAGCAGGAAGTGCAGGGGGATGAGGTGGATGAGAGAGGGAGGAGGAGTGGGGCATCAGAAGGGGGAGGCTGAAGAGGAGGGCGATGAGGATGGGGAGGAGGAGGAGGAGGAAAAGGGGAAGGAGGAGGAAGAAGAGGAGGGGACAACAATGAGTAGACGGAGGAGAAGCGGGGAGCACAAAGAGCAGGCGGATTGGGTGGCGGACGGACTATCAGTTTGCCTGCCTCCCTCTCCTTCCGTCCCTCATCCGTCAGGTGTTGCTGGAGGTGGCGCTGGCCCAAGGCGGCCCCAGCTTTCCGAGTGAGCCCGGATGGCCCCCGCAGAGCCACCCTCTCACGAGGCCCAGGGCAGCTCCAGGGGATCCACGGTTGCGCGGAGAGCTGGGTACGCGCCGTGCCAGGGGCACCTCTGTCAGTGCCCGCCTCCGGCCCCAAGGAGGAGAAGGGAACTGTGGGAAGAGAAGGAGGAAGAGGCGGAGGACGAGGAAGGGCAATGAGGAGCAGGAGGAGGAGGATGAGCTGGAGCGGGGGTGAGGAGAATCATCATGATACGAAGGGCGAGGAGGAGAACAGGGAGTAATACCAGGAATGAAATTGAGGATGAGAATTGGGAGTATTGGAGGCAGGAGGAGCTAACAGCTTGCTTAATTACCTCCCCATCCTTCTCCTCCTCCTCCGCCTCCTCCTCCGTATCATCCGAATCCTCCGTAACCTTCGTATTCCTCCCCCCGTCCCCTGCGTATCTTTCTTCCTCGCCTTGGGCCGCCGTGACTGAACGCCGAAGTGATTCCCGATTCCAAGTTTGCGTGCAGTAGCCGCTTCAATGAGCGTAGCATCCATCCATCCCTTCTCCTCCTCTTCTCATCTTCGCCGGGGCGCCAGATCAAGTTGCCCTTGAGCTACGATCCCGCCGCGCCCCTGGCGAGCCTTGCGAGGCGGGGTGGGGTGGGGAGCGGGGTGGCTGACGGCCAGCACTGAGAGTCCGACTCTGCCTCGCTCTGCCTCTCAGAGAGCAGTGGCAGGCGGCTGCACGCTCGCAAGAGGGGGGTCCCGCCCCTGCTGATGCGAGAGGACAGGGGCACGAGGAGGAGAAGGAGGAGGAGGAGGAGGAGGAGGAGGAGGGAGAGGGGGAGGGGGCAAGTAGGAATTATAGCGAACTAGCAGGAGGAGGTAGGAGGAGGGAGGGAGGAGGAGGAGGAGGAAGAGGAGGAGGAGGGGACCGATGGGAGAGGAGGAGGAGGAGGCGGAGGAGGACGACGACGAGGAGATGAGAGGAAGTGCGGGGGGTGGGGGGACGCGGAACGGGCCAGATGGAGGAGCATTTGGAGGAGGGACGGTATTGAAGTTGATTGACGAGGACGATGCGCAAGAGGCGGAGGAGGAGGAGGACGAACGGTGTGAGTAGGATTGTGCAGGAGGAGGAAACGGAGCAGAAGGAGGCACACTAGGAGGAGAAAAGAGGGGCAGCAGACGCAGCAGACGGATGAGGATGCCGCGAGTGAGAAAACGAATCACGACGAGGGGGACAGGAAGGTCGCTGAGAGGAGGGGGATATTTGTGAAAAGGAAAAGGAGTGGGAGGAGGAGGAGGAGGAGGAGGAAGAGGAGGGAACCGATGGGAGAGGAGGAGGAGGAGGAGGAGGAGGAGGAGGAGGAGGAGGAGGCCCCCCAAAGGCATCCCATCCAGAAGATCCAGGATTCCATCGTTCTCATGGACCGCGGGCTCTGGGAGGGGGAGGCTGGCTGGCGCCCCTCGCGCCCGCGCCCGCCGCCTTCATCGTCGTCGTCGTCGTCGTCGTTGTCGTCGTCGTCGTCGTCGTCGTCGTCGAACGTCGTCGTCGAATGTCGTCGTCGTCGAGCGTCGTCGTCGAGCGTCGTCGTCGAGCGTCGTCGTCGAGCGTCGTCGTCATCGTCGCCGTCGCTGTTCCAGGATCGAGGTATTTTGCTGTTGTTGCTTCTCCCCTTGTCTGGCCTCCAGGGAGCAACCGTCGTCGTCTACGCCGTCGGCCTCATTCCCCACTTCCCTCCCGCCTTCCCCACCCCCATTGTCCCCCCCTCATCCCTGGCCCCCCCGCCTCCTCTCCCACCTCGCTCAGCAGGCTCAGGACCTCGCTCTAGTCCTTGAGGCCCAGCGCGCTCCAGAGCCCTGGAGACAGGCCGTGCGTTCAGACTCCTCTTCCCCCCCCCCCGCCCTTGCGTTTTGAGATACCACAAAGCAGGCGCTGCTCTGAAGCGCTATCTCTGGACACCCCGCAAAGCTAGGAAGACGAAGAAGAAGAAGAAGAAGAAGAAGAACAATGAGAAGAGTTACCGATGCCGGTACCCTTCCCTTGTCGCCTGGGTTGGGTCCGCCTCGACGTTCTTCACGTAAGGCTCTCCTGGAGGGCCCGTGAGCAGGGGCAGCGGCCCCCGCTTCTCTTTAAAGGAGGTGAGATGTACAAAAGCTGGGGAAACAGAACGTACAGAAAAAAAATAAGAATACTAATAAACTGACGCATAAGAATGCAGAATACAAGCATCCGATAATAATACTAATAACTCACTACTACTACTAAATACCACTCGCAAACATAAAGACTCCTCATCACATGAAACATACTCCTCCTCCTCCTCCTCCCCTCATCCCTCCTCCTCCTCCTCCTCCTCCTCCTCCTCCTCCTCCTCTCCTCCTGTGCTTCTCGCCCCCGTGTCGTTTTTGCTTCGGCCACGGGCCCCAGAGGCCGACCGCGAGGGGAACCTCCGCCGGGGTGGAAGAGAACAGGTCGTCGGAGATTTCCGGGCCTCGGCAGCTGTCGGCGAACGAGCTTGCCTTAGGTCGGGCCTGTCCCCCTGCAGGGGGGATTTTATACGAAAAATGCAAAAATAGCCCAAGAATGCCCTGAAAATATTCAACATGGTCAAAAAGTACCCTACATAGTCCGAGTTTGTTCTTACTATGTTTGAATATTCCTCCTGTGGATGGACAAGCCCGACTTAAAAGCTTGCCGTCGTCAGGCGTCCTACGGCGCGAGCGTGTCTCCGGGTGCCTGCTCCGCCCCCCCCGCCTCTCGCAGGGTCCATGTGGTCCGAGCCGAGGCGCGTCGATACCGATTCTGCCCAGCACGATCCGACTCGATCCCGACATCCCGACGATCCGGTGCGGCCCGATGCTTGCACGGCGCGGCTGTACATTCTGGCGCAGATTCCATGCCGATTCCCCGACGAGGCAGCCCGATCCGACGTACATCCCGATCCGGTCCGACTTGCTGTTTCGCTACAGGTGGGGGCTCGACCACAGGAAACCTTCCACAAGAAACCCTCCACAAGAAACCCAACCCTGAGACCCCAGGACGTCCGCTCATTTTTCGTGTGGGAACGTCACGCCTTCCACAGTAAAACCCTCGAAACCCGAGAAACCCAGTGCACCCTGGAGGCAAGCAGGGTGCCTCTTTGCATGGGCCCCCACTGCACGAACTGATCCTGGACCACCCCCCCCCCCAGTGGCTGAAGCTGGCCACCACGGACTTCGACTTCCGCGTCAGCATGGCGCCGGCCGGCGCCCCGCTATCCTCACAGGCGAGGCCGCCGCCGCGGGCGTCTGCGGCGTCGGGGCGAGGACGACGCCGCGGATCGGGGGCAGTGTCGGGGGGGATGCGGTACAGTGGAAGCCCATGCCATGAAACACCCTGGTTGCCTCCAGGGTGCCCTGGGTTCCTTGTGTCTCGAGGGTTTTGCGTTGGAAAGCGTGACGTTCACACGCCAAGAATCAGTGGACGTTCTGGGGTCTCAGGGTTGGGTTTCTTGTGGAAGGTTTCTTGCGGACTGGTCTCCACTGTACAGTCCAGGCTGATTAGCAGGTCGACCCTGCCAAATGAAGCGTACCCTTGTGTCCTGTGTTCGGCGACCCATGCCTCCTATACTCTTATGGCAATGTGGCCCTCGGAAGGGTCTTGTGTCTTCTCGCGTGTCCTCTCCAATCGACCCCGACTGTAGGCTCGTGCGGCGATCGATGGCCTGCCAGCGGCGCCAGCGAAGGCGTTGAAGGTTGAGCGCCGCCTGATAGAACGACGCCGAAGCACCGAGGGACACGGTAACGACACAGGACCCGATCTGGGGGCCGCCGCCAGATTTCGATGCCGTCAGGAGCGGCTCTTGATGAAAAGCGGGTCCCAGTGAATCCTTTGGGGGTCGACGTTGTGGAAAAAACATGGCGTCGGGGGTCTAGGTACGACGATGACTCCGCAGGCTGGCACCCCTGGGCTAGGAGAGATTGCACGTCTCTCGCCGTCACAAACAGCCTCATGTGCCCCGAGGGGGGGCCCCATAGGGTGGGGGAGTTCATCAGGGAGCGCACCCACAGAAACTGCAGACCCTGGATGGTTCCTTCTCTGATGAGGGCGGCGGTGATATCCATGGCCGATCCACGATTGGAATTCCTCGGGCTTCCCGGACGAGTGAAAGCACAAGGCATGCAACAGGGCACGCTCGACCCAGCCATGCTTCCTTCCGCTCGCCTGCGTGGGCCTGTCCGGGTCGTCGGGAAGATGCCAGCGAATTGGCCGTTTTCGGTTCGCGAGAGGGCGTCGCGGCCGTCATTTTTTGCGGGTCCAGGTCCGTCGGGTTCGGTCCTAGGCCGTTTTCACTACAGGGAGGTTTACTAAAGGGAGGTTTGTCCACCGCCACCCCCCCCAGTTGCACTGTGCACCCCAGCACCGTGGGGCGGTGAGGCGCGTGGAGATCATCGCGCTCCCCTGGGGTGGTCCTGGGGTGCGCCGCGGGCGCCGTGCCAGCTCTGTTGGAGTCGGCGCGGCGTGTTGAATGCGTTGCTCGCACGGGCTTCGGCCCTCGAAGAGTTCAAACAATGCCCCCACCCCCTGCTGGCCCGGCCGAGCGTGCCGGTCTTCTGCAGGACCACGGGGCGAAAAAGAGGCGCTCCGCCTTTTTTGTTTGAAGCCCCGAGCTCGGCCGCCGGGGCACGCAACTTGTCGTGATCAGACGATCCGGCGAGCCTCTTGAGCCTCTCCAGGACCCCTTTCTGTTGTGGAAAGGCGATCAGTGGAGAGGAGGCATGTTGTTAAACAAATTCCAGATGTCTAAGGGTCAGGCGATAGCCCGGCTTATCGGGCTTGTCCCCCCCCTTCCCCCCCCAGGATAACCTAACCTTGCCGGTTGTGCAGGTCCGGGGTGGAGGGCCCCGGGCATATGCAGGGCTGTCCACAGCGCGAAGGTTAGGTTATCGGCCGGCCCCCTCCTCCTCCCTTCCCCCCCTGGGTTAACCCGGGTTATCGCCGATTCAAAGAAAGGGTCTCCTACAACATGTGTTCAACATGTTTGAAACATGCAAAACACATGTTGTAGACCTGCTGTTTCATAAAAAAACAGTTCTGAAACATGAAACGCACAGTTCAAATCCACTGATAGGGCTGTTAGACTGTCCATTATCATGGCATCCACAACTCTTCTGGACCCTCAAGTATGAGCTATTCCACGAGATCCTCAGTAAGGCTGAAGACTAGAGTCTTGGTTCGGATGGGATTCCGTATTCGGGGATGTAGGTGGTGTTGTCAGGCTTACGTTCTACAGCCACTAAATTTATCTAACTGCTACCGGTGAAACCCTTCCTGAATATAACGATGTGTTGTGCTGCCTTTCTCCCGAGAAGGACTATCTAGGCCGTGCCTCTGTGTGAT